GCCGGCTCCGGGGCGGCCTCTGACCGTGCTTTTCCCTCCTGTCCGCGCAGCTGGTGGGTTCGGACGAAGGCCTCCAGCAGAAGCTGGCGGAGGCGATCCTCCGAGAGAAGAAGGACTTCAAGATCAGTATGTGAGTGGCGGGGAGGGGGATGCGCCGCCTGCGGCCCCGGCCGCAGGACCGTAGCGGGGTCTACAGGGGCCCTCCCCCACCCGGTCCAAGAGATGGAGCCAAAGCAGCGGCCGTGATGCGAATTCACGAAAAGTTTCTGCTTCAGAAACGCACGCACCGAAATTGCTTATAAATGCAGGTTCTACCCAAGTGGCGGTAGCCGGAACTGCAGGGCGTTCGTTTCGAAGAAAGAACTTGGTGTTGTGAACGCTAGAGTGCACTACTGCACAGATGTGGCTGGCATCTGCCGAAGGCAAACCGCTCTTGTCTTCAGGGCAAGCAGTTTGAGCATGTTTAGAAATGGGGGTGGAAATAATTCTCACATTCACCGTGTTCACTGTGCACATACCGCTGCCCTTTGCATGTTGCACAGGTGTTTGATTAATAAATTGAAAGGGTATGAGAGGAGCACAGATTTTTTTTTTTTCTCCTGGGAGACAGACATATACAGGAATTAAACAACCTGGGACAAATTGGGACAAGTACAATGCTTGCAGCTACTTGAAAGCAAACAAGTTTTCCTGAAAGATGTCCATAACTTTTGGTGCTCTTCAGAGCCGTTTTCTGGTTTGTATGCATGTACGTGCTTTTCCTCCTCAAGCTATTAAGACGCATTTGGAATTTTAACATGACAAGTCCTGTCTTAAAAGCCTGATTAACTAACTTTTTATGATATAATGTCCTTGACAGCTCTCTTGCCAAGACCAAATGAGTTTAGTCAGCTCTTCTGAAGGTGTTTGTGTTATTTCACTGCTGTAATCCAAGGCTATGCAGTAAAGGCAAACCCGAGCTAATGTTCTACTGGCCAGTTAGAGCGACTGTACTGCTCTGATCATGGCATCTTGGATGTTTGTGCTAGCTAATAGTAAATCAATTACCCAATTTTCTATGCAAATCCTGCAGCCTCTGCTGAGCTGTGGAGTGCCATAACTAGATGACTACTGGTACTACAGCTGGGTAACTACCCAAAGGCATGGAAACTTATGCTCTACAGAGCAAGATAAGTCTCTGTGCTAGTATCACTAGGGAAGCAGAATTCCATGAAGAAGCAGAAGTCTGTGACAGTTTTTTTCCCACTGTGTTGCTTTGGGATTATACACATTACAAAGCAATATGGTATCTTGTCTGGCAAGTCTACCTGCCAGATACAGCTGTTGGGAGAAGAATTGCAGGGCTGGGGTTTTTGTGTCTCTTGCCACTAGGAAAAAAAAAAGGCTCCTGTAGCACATATCTGGAGGCTGCTGACATCATCTAGTGATGTTGGTTTAAATATAGTAGAATTCCAAATCATGGAGGTTTTTTGGGTTGTTGGTTTTGGTTTGTTCCCACCCCCCCCGACAATGAGATCTGATACTTTCCTTTCTCCGCAGCTTCTCCCTAAAATCCACCTTAAATTTATAAGCTTGTTTGTGTTGCAATGTGTCTTTCAAGCACACTTTGCTCATACCTTGTGTTAGTTTCAGGATGTTTTTGTTAAGTCATACCTTCCTTATTTATAGGAAACAAAACACCTTTATCTGGAGACTGGCAGACAAAACTACAAACTGCGTATGATTAATAGAAGGGAGTGTGTACCACGGTCTGTGGCTGCTGGGGAAAACTGTTAAGTCCTTAAGATTTAATTGGTAGAAGTAATATTCCCCAAGGAGACCAAAATCAGTGTTTCTCTCTTGGCTTCCAGAGAGGAAGTGGATTGTGAGAGAGACTGAGATTCTGGGATTTTTGTTTGTCCGATCTATCTTTTAGGTGACCTTCCAAAAACATGGTGCTGATAATATTCTTCCCTGTGGAAGGCCCAGATATGCACTATC